TTATTTCTCTCTCTTTTCAAAGAAACTTTGCTTGGTAAAAAATGTGAAACTACCCACTTGGCTTACCAAGCAATTCTTTTTTTTTTTTTCTCAATCCCAAATTTTTTAAATTATATTATTTGTACATATCGATGTGTGAATGGTGTGATACCTGAGTTTCATACATTTCAATAAAAATAAACATATTATTACACACAATTATTACATTTCATTTTTATTGTTTCATATTATTTGCACAAATCCTTTACTTCAATTCTAAACCTTCTTCTTACTCTTACTCTTCCATATATCTTAATATTTTGGTGTGTGTGTATATATATATATATATATATATATATATATATATATATATATATATACTATCATTCCCCTCTTATTTCTATCTCTAATTTAGCTTCCCCCTCTCTCACTATAATATTCAAAGATGTGATAATATTTCTTTTCTGTTCCCTACTATTACTACACATATTTTTGTTACAATACATTCTTTCATTTTCTAATCACCCATTATTTAATTCTACCATGTTTTTATACTTATTTGATAATACTATTATTCAAATTCTAATTTTCCAATTAAAAACTTAATAATTCTTCATACCTCTGTTCATATTTCCCATCCTTGAAATTCTACTATTAATACACATGTTTACATTAAAATATATTCTTGCATTAACTAATCACCTGTTATTTAATTCTAGCATTTCACTATTAACCATATTTTTATACATATTTAACTTCCACACTACATACAAAGTAATTATCCAACTAATATAATTCTAATATTAATGCACATTATTAAATTTTTTTCATAAAGTCTCTTTTGCTTTACTTTCCCTTTCTCCTTTATCCATCATCTCTTGCCAGTATCCCAATTTTTAGTCTTCAATTCTTTGAGCTGTGTTGTTTTCTAATCCTTGCGTCCCCAGGGATGTAAAACGCTATTCCTGGCAGTTGAAGTCCTCCAGGCTTAAAGTTGCCAAGATTGGAGACCCCTGCCTTAGACAATTGCTGGATGCTTCTCAAGGAAATGCAAGTAAAGACGGGGCTAAACAGCCTTGCTGCCATACAGTGATCAAAAGATGGATTGAGGGAGAATAACAGGTAGTCCTTGACTTATGACCACCATTTTTTGTTCCTAAGCGAGACATTTGTTAAGCGGGTTTTGTTGCCCCATTTTACGACTTCCCTTGCCACAGTTGTTAAGCGAATCGTTGCAGTTGTTAAGTTAGCAACCTGGTTGTTAAGTGAATCGGGCTTCCCTATTGGACTTTGCTTGTTTAGAAGGTCGCAAAACCGGATTGCGTGACCCCTCGGGACGCTGCCACCGTCATAAAATATGAACCAGTTGCCAAGCATCTTAAATTTTGATCACGTGACCACGGGGATGTTGTAACGGTCGTTAAGTGTGAAAAACGGTCATAAGTGCCTTTGTAACTTTGAAATGGTCACTGAATGAGCTGTTGTAAATTTACCTGTACTACCCCATGTAGGTCCTTCAGATGTTGCAGAATTAGTTTCCTGACAGTTAGAACAATTAATCCGTGGAATAACTTGCCTCCAGAAGTTGTAAATGCTCCAACACTGGAAATTTTTAAGAAGAGATTGGAGAACCATTGGTCTGGAATGGTATAGGGCCGTGATGGGAGGGGTGGGGCCAGCCAGGAATGAGATTTGGGGGGTCTCCGAAATGCACAGCTAGAGGTTGTCCGGAACCCCTACGAACCCCCAGCAGCCCACCCCTGGTCCTGACCCCTATAATTCAGTGGTTTCCTCCTTGTTTCCTACCTTACCCAAATCTGCTTATCAGAAAGCCTTATCAACGTTTGAGACGGGACATAAATCCCTTCCTTCGGCACTACGATTCCATTCTGGATGCTGAAAATCCATACATCTTAAAAGTGGGATTGGGATGGAGTTTAAACAACGGGTTTAAGGCCCGCTGAACATCACAAGAAAGACCCAGAGACCCCAACTCCTCCTCTTTCTCCCCCCCCCCACCAAACCTTGTAATCCTGTCACTGTCGAACGTATCTCAAAAAACATCGCCAATGTAACCGAGGGCAGGTTGGCCTCTTTGTACAGTATGTTGCCTGCATTTATCGGAGCGGTTAATATTAACTATTAATGTCAACATGGTGTGCTGTTGGTATTCCGGAGCTTTCGAGAGAGAGAGAAAGAGAGAGAGAGCAGTGTTTTGCTGATATTGAGGATGTCATCCTTAGGTGAAAATACGTGGGTTGCCCGTTTGTGACTTCAGGGGGTTGGGTCTTCCCGTCTGCAGCCTGAAATTATGATTTGCGCCCCGTTTTAACTTCCCTGTGTCATCTGCTAAACCAGTGGTCCCCAACGATTCTGGCTTTCCGGATTGGCAGGGGTGTGGGGGAGAGGAAATGGTTCTGTGTGAGCAGCAGGCATCCACATTTGCCCCTCGCAACAGTACCCACCACTTGCTTGCGCGACCCAGTTCTGAGCGGGCTGCGGCCCAGTGTTGGGCTGTGGTCCGGGGATTGGGGACCCCTGTGCTAAACTGTCATAATCGTGAGATTATGAGGGGTCCTTGGTGCTCTCCAAACTTGGTTGTTTCCTTGCAGACCAGGAGTGGGTTCTAAATTTTTTTACTACTGGTTCTGTGGGTGTGGCTTGATGGTCATGTGCATTCTTTAGGATTTAGCAGAGGTACTGGTCTACCAGGCTTTTAACTGCTTGCAGAGCTGTACCAGTCTACCCATTTATTTTTGCAGGCACTGGTCTACTCATGTATTTTTGTAGGCATTGGTCTACTCATTTATTTTTGCAGGCACCGGTCTACTCGGGTTTTTTAGCAGGCACTGGTCTACCCATTTATTTTTTGCAGGCACCCGTCTACTCATTTGTTTTCGGAGGCACCGGTCTACCACCAAACTGCCTTTTACCACTGATCAGCTGTAGGGCGGCCCTTTGAAGCCCCGCGGCAAGAGTTTAAACAGTTTTTCCTTATAGCCCATCAGCTGGGACTCAGGAGGCAGCAATAGATTGGGGGGTGGGGCCAAATAAAAGGTAAGAATAACACGGGGGGGGGCAGTTGCCGGGGGGCAGAACCGGTTCGGTGACATCATATCGTCACCGCTACCGGCTCGGCGGAACCGGGAGGAACCCACCACTGTTGCAGACGTTTCCTTACCCATTTGGGTAACATCATCAGTGCTACGTCATCGTCATCATCTAGCACTGATGATGTTGCCGAGCTGAGTAATGAAACGCCAGTGAGGAATCGTTTCAACCCTGAGCTACAAATATTTTCGTTTTATCAGCAACAAGAAAGTCCTTTGCACGTTGCCTGGGTTTGAAGCGCATTCCTCCGTGTCCTTCCTCTTAACGTATTTTTCATCGTCGATCGCTTGTATCTAAATCTGTCAGCCTTCAAGGTAGATCAGGGTCAGGAAACAGGCCCGGCAAGAAATACTAGATCTCTTGTTTTATTGATCCAGCTGATAGTCCTTGACTTAGAACCATTCGTTCAGCAACCATTCGAAGTTAACTAAAGTGACATGACCGGCCCTCACACTTAACAATCATTGTGACATCCCTGGAATCATGTGTTCAAAATTCAACAACTTGGCAAATCGGTGTGTAATTTTTTATGCTTGTACATCCCGGGGAGTCACAGGATCGCCGTTTGTGAGCTTCGCAGCTGGCTTCTGACAGCAAAGTCAAGGGGGGGGGGGGGGGAGCCAGATTTGCGTAATGACAGCACGATTCACTTAACAACTAAAGTGATTCCATCACTGAGGCAAAAAGGAAGTAAAATCAGACATAACAAGTTTAAGAACCGCCTTAGTTAGCCATGGAAATTGTGATTGGAAATTGAGGACTATCTATAATACCGATTAAGGGGCGCGGTGGCTCAGTGGCTAAGACACTGAGCTTGTCGATCGAAAGGTCGGCAGTTCAGCGGTTCGAATCCCTAGTGCCGCGTAAGGGGGTGAGCTCCCGTGACTTGTCCCAGCTTCTGCCAACCGAGCAGTTCGAAAGCATGTAAAAAAAAAAAAAATGCAAGTGGAAAAATAGGGACCACCTTTGGTGGGAAGGGAACAGCGTTCTGTGCACCTTTGCCGTTTAGTCATGCCGGCCACATGACCATGGAACTGTCTTTGGACAGCGCTGGCTCTTCGGCTTTGAAACAGAGATGAGCATTGCCCCCTAGAGTCAGGAACGACTAGCACATATGTGCGAGGGGATCCTTTACCTTTATATTTATACCAATTCCGAAAGCCTCTGACATCATTTCCCCTTCCCTTCGTCTTAGACCAAAGAGCATCAAGATGGGGCCTTCTTGAGTTTCTTCCTCACCCTTTTCCTTTTTTTTTCTTGGGCAACTTATTTCCTTCGAGCCCATCTCTCCCAATACCTCCAGCCTGCCTTCCAGCTTCTTCTCACCTCAGTTCTTCTTCTCTTCCGTTTCTGTGTGGCAGAACAGATGGCCAAAGAGAACCTGGGGGTGGTAGAAGTATTAAACAGCGTCTCTTCCAGCCTGTTGTTTCTCTCCTAACTAATGTATCACGAGGCTAAGGCTGGCTTAGGGATTTCCTTCCGGGCCCTCAGAGGCATTTTTTATAGGATGGGACTTAAAAAAATCCTACATGAAGCAGTCTGATTTCCCATCGAGCTTGATTAAAATGCTTTCTGACTAAACCTACATAAAGCCACAGATAAAACTCTTTCAAGTCTCCCTCTCCCCTTTCCTCCTCTTCTTTTAAAGACCCCGTAATCCCTTGCAGGGTGGAGTCTTGGGCAACTGAACGGAGCTGTTTACTGGCCGGATGCCCTTCCTGTCGCCAATGTGGAGTTTATATTCTCATCGTGCCCAGAGAGAGAAATATCTGCCTCTACTTAGGATCGAATTCACAGCCTCCTGATTGTGAGGCGAGACCTCCACCTATAGACCACCGCACCACTCTCTCCCCTTTCCTCATTATTACATAATTTTACTAACTCAGCCCTCTTTTTTTTTTTTTCCCCAGCCTTCATGAAGAAATCAATGACTTCTACAAGTACATGTCTCCTCGACCCGAAGAAGAAACAATGCGGATGGAGGTGGTGAACAGGATACAAAACGTAATAAAGGAACTCTGGCCCAATGCGGATGTAAGTTTAGCAAACTCTTTAACTCAGTTGCTGAAGACGCTGGTGGTTCTTTTTCCAATGGTTGTAGACTTTAGGCAGGAACTCCACCATTCTGCAGTTTAAAAAAAAAAAAGGGAAATCTGGTGTTAAAATGATGCAGTCTTTATTGTACGTTTGCATAGCTTCGGTCGGGTCTGGTCGGCGTTTTCAGCCGTTTTGCTTCTTCATCTCGGTCACCCTGGCCAAAGGGAACAGGTGGAGCAAATACTATTGATAAAGAGACTTCCAAGTTTCCTTGTCCAATTAATCTGCAAGATTGATTCCCTAAACCTTGGCCACTTTTAAGACATGTGGACATCAACTCCCAGAATTCCCCAGCCAGCCATGTCAGACAATATGATCGGCAAAAGGTTTTTTGAGTTGAGCTGGCACCTTGTGCTAAACCAAGGGTCTCCAAACCTGATAACTTTTAAGACTTCAACTCCCAGAATTCCCCAGGCTGCCATGTCAAATAATACAATCAGCAAAAAGTTTGTTGAGATGAGTTTGCACCTTGTGCTAAATCAGGGGTGTCCAACTGTGGCCACTTTTAAGACTTGTGTACTTCAACTCCCAGAATTCCTGCCTGGGGAATTCTGGGAGTTGAAGTCCACAAGTCTTAAAATGGCCAAGGTTGGACACCCCCTGCCCTAATAAAACTGTTGCCTGTTCTAGATCAGCCAGTCTCTTTGGACTTCCAGATTTCATTTCCGGCTTGTAGATAGCGGCATTCCTGACTAGTCCTTCCCCTCAACAATTCAGTGTGTGGGAAGGGAGACCAGAAAGAAGTAAAGGGAAAGGGAACTGTAAGTCTCCCAACGTAACCTTGAAGCAAACACGTTGCTGACATTTTTTGGCTCCGGTGAGCTTTGGAGTCAGATCAGTGACCGAAATAATTTGCCAAAGGGCAACGTGTAAACCATGTAAGCAAAGTTCAGAGATCACAAAGGTCTCCTCCACATTCAGTTGGAACCCTGCATAGCTTGGACGCTTCTGAAAAAAAAAAAAAAAACCTGACGAAGGGGCTAACGAACCAAATCTAGACACTGCTATGGACGTGCTTAGTTTTTTTCTTTTCCCTCCAGCTGCCTTTGTGGCATGACTGTAAAACTGGAAGCAAATAAAAAAAATTTAAAAATAAATTACGGTCATCTGTTTACGTCTGCAAAATGTTCATTGGCAGGTTCATTGTAATTCATCTGAAAAATTAAGAGTCCTTTTTTTAAAAAAAATAAATAAAAAAACCGGATCCAGTAAGAACGTATATGAGCTTAGCGTTTTGAAGAAAACGATAAAAGAAGCCTTGGCATTCAGCATGCTTTTCTTATAGTATTTATAGAAGCCAGCAATTGTGTCATTTCTCTGTTACTCAGGGGAATGTGCTTAGACACAAACATTCCTAGCAAGTGAGAACCGTTCTTGGCATCAGCCGGGCTTCACCATTAAGGGGACGGTGAGAGGCTTTAATTATCCTGGAATCGGGATAACGCAGCTGCCAAAGGAAGGAAGTGACTTCAGATCACTTGAGAAAGAAAATCAGCTCTTGTTGAAAAGTATGACCGGCATAGAGTTCCCATCAGCGTGAAACTTCCTTGAATAGACTGTGATTATTGAGCCGGGGTGGCATAGTGATTAGAACACAGTCCCAAAGGTGCTTTTTCAGTCGGCAACTGGACTTTCTTGCTTCTCATCCAAGAAGCTTCTTCAGCTCTAACAGGATGGTGGGGAATGGAAGGATTTATATTCCTTGCAGACAGCTGGTCTTTTGCATCCTTTGGGTCACCCGAGTAGTGCTTTTAGCTATACAATTTGGGATGAACACCCTTTGAATAGTGTGGGAGTAGGAATGGATTCCCAGAGGAAAAATTTGCAGACTATAGGAACCAGGAGCAGCACTCAGGTGACCCTGAGGACACAGATTAACCTCCAAGTCCTTCAAGGACCCTCTAAAAGGATGCAAAGGACCAGCTGTCTGCAAGGAATATAAATCCTTCTATTCCCCACCATCCAGTCAGAGCTGAAGAAGCTTCTTGGATGAGAAGCGAAACGTCTTCAAAGAGGAAAAAAACAGAAAGTCCAGTTGCTTCCTGAAAAAAGCACCTTCGGGACAACCATTACCTGGATGACAGAGAATCTCTACAGACTGTTAGAATGCACTATTGCTGGCTAAATCTGCCCACAGCCAGAAGTTCGATTTTGACCAGCTCAAGGTTGACTCAACCTTCCATCCTTCCGAGGTGGGTAACATGAAGACCCAGATTGTTGGGGGGGGGGCAAGATGCTGACTCCGTAAACCACTTAGAGAGGGCTCGGAAGCACTGTGAAGCGGTAGATAAATCTTAAGTGCTATTGCTGTCGCCTGGGTGGACTATGCAAATCTGAAAATGATTCTGAAGGGTCATCTGGAGGGTGTTTGTTCCAGGGATTCTGTCCCGGGTCCATCACAAGGGAAGAGATTAAGGAGCTTCAGACAAGTAATAGCCAGAGATTTGGCTAGGATTTGTGGAAGCTCCTGCAACAGTCAAAGTTGTCTGCAAATTTAGAAAGCCCTCTGCTAACAAAGCCTGATTTAGTAGGAAACAAATATCCACGAGTGGACGCAGCTGAGAAGACTCTGCGAACTGTCTGAATTTAAATTTAGTTTGTTCCTTGCGATTTATATTTATATTGATTGTTTCCTAGTATGATTTGGTTGCTTATTGTACCATATAACTATCATTAAGTGTTGTACCTTATGATTCTTGACGAATATATCTTGTCTTTTTATGTACACCGAGAGCATATGCACCAAAGACAAATTCCTTGTGTGTCCAATCACACTTGGCCAATAAAGAATTCTATTCTATTCTATTCTATTCTATTCCATTCCATTCCATTCCATTCCATTCCATTCCATTCCATTCCATTCCATTCTATTCTATTCTATTCTATTCTATTCTATTCTATTCTATTCTATTCTATTCTATGATTCTACTCTACTCTACTCTGCTCTATTCTATTCTCCTACAGCAAGTGGTTAATTAAGTGAAGGCCCGGATAAACTTAAAACAGATAATGGCTTCATTCTCCGATTTCTCCTCCTTGTCAAAAGAAAGCCAGAAACATACATTCAGACAGCCCATTAAATGCCTGCTTGCTTATGATTTAGCTTGATCTCTAGATTAATCCTATACATGCTGGATGATCCCCTAAAATCTGTCCGTTGAGGGCAGCAAGAGTCTGCGTTGCTGCTTATTCTTTTAATGCTTACGGTGAAAGGTTTTAATTTGTCTGTTTGGATTTTCTTCTCTCCCACCCCCCCCTCCCCCCAGGTGCAGATATTTGGAAGTTTTAAGACGGGTTTATATTTACCTACTAGGTTAGTAAGTTTTATTTATTGCATTTGCATTTTATCTTTCCTCCAAGCAACTCTCGAGCTACTTTTACCAGTTACGAAAAAGTCACTTCATGACTTGCTCAAACACTTAGGTCCTTCACAGATCTATAAAGCAAAAGAAAACCTGAAGTAACTTCTAAGTTCTTAGATCTAGAATATTAGAATTAGAATATTAGAATAGAACAGAGCTGGAAGGGACTTTGGAGATCTTCCAAGCCAGCCCCCTCCTCAAGCAGGAGAACCTATATTACTTAAGATAAGTGGCTGTCTAGTTTCTTCTTAAAACCTCCACTGATGGAGCACTCACAACTTCTGGTGGCAAGCTGTTCCACTGGTTAATTGTCCTCACTGTTAGGAAGTTTCTCCTTAATTCCAGGTTGCTTCTCTCTTTGGTCAGTTTCCAACCATTGTAAGATCTTAACACAATTGTGATTTCATTTAGAGGCCGCTTCACTTAATCGGGTTGCCAGTCCCACTAAATGAGGACTCTATTTGTCCCCCGTCTGCCTTCCCCCTTCGCCATTTGTTCCTCAGTTTACCTCGTTCTAACAACATTTGACTGGGACTAACTGGGAATGGGTCTTTGCGGTTTGGGAAAAGCCCTTGGCCCAGGAAGGCTTGAGATCAGTCATGTGATATACGTCTAAGATGGGGTGATGTACTAACGTTTCCGTAACTCGGAGACCAGGGAATAGCCTTCATTAAGTGCCGAAGGGTATCTGAAGTAGATGTCCCTTAGCAAGAAAGCTTGGAGTCTTTTCGTAAGAGATGGCACGCTGGTCCTTCTGCAGAAATCTTATCCATTCTGATTCCCCAAAATGCACCTGAACGAAGTATTAATCTTCTGCCATCTCGTTCCAGCGATATTGACTTAGTGGTGTTCGGAAAATGGGAGACTTTGCCACTGTGGACCCTGGAAGAAGCACTTCGGAAGCACAACGTGGCCGACAAAGGTTCAGTAAAGGTTTTAGATAAAGCCACTGTAAGTTAATTTGGTGTGTGTGTGTGTACGTGCTTTTTGTGCCTGTTAGCGTGGGGGTGATTTCCCCCAAAAAGTAACTTGTGAAACATCTCTACAATATTACAGTGGAGTCTGTACTTTGTCTAGAATGATAGAGGGCAGGGGTGGGCAAATGTGGCCCTTTTGCAACCTGTGGACTTCAACTCCCAGAATTCCTGAGACAGCTTGGCTAACTCAGGAATTCTGGGAGTTAAAGTCCACAGGTTGCAAAAGGGCCACATTTGCCCACCCCTGATATAGGGCAGTGATGGCTAACCTTTTTGGTGCCAAGTGTCCAAAGTGCAAGTGTGCATGCGAATGCGAGCACGCGTGCCCAAACCTCCTAAATGCAATATGAGCACCCCTCCCCCCATGCGTGCCCACCCCCTGCGCCCCGTTTTGGCTTCCAGGTTGGTGCAGGAGGCTTTCCAGGCCCAAAACGGGGCACAGGGGAACTGTGCGAGCCCCCACCCACCCATTTTGGGCCTGGAAAGCCTCCTGCACCAACCTGCCCCCCCAACCCTCAGTGCATGCGCCCTGCCCCCCATGCATACATGGCAGAGATCCGAAGACCAGCTGGCTGGTGGGAGGCGCGTGTGCATGCACGGTGGAGCTGGGCTGGGGCTATGGCTGGCGTGCCCGCAGAGAGGGCTCTATGCGCCACCTGTGGCACATGTGCCATAGGTTTACCATCACGGATATAGGGTCTCCCACTTAATCAGGAGGTTGGACTAGAAGACCTTCAAGATCCCTACCAACTCTTATCACTCTGTTAACCTCAAGTTAATAGATCCGTATTGAACAGGGCTGCCACGATTCAAATCTTCCATCTAATAATGGACAGCTCTGTTGTTTCAGAGAATTTGCCTCAAGTCACATCTTGTGTGTAATTTATATCATTGATGGCTTTTCATCTTTTGTCTCAGTTTGTCATTTGACATGAACCGATGCAAAAGATAGAGAGAAGGTGCACATTAATTTCAATTACATCAGTAAACATGGATTCGGAGGGCCCCGTTTCCCTCTGTTAAATTAAGATTTTAACTCCTAGCTTTTTTTATTTTATTTTGAAACATCACTCTCTTTTTTTTTTCCATTGGGATAAAGAATAATTTTAAGTTCTGTGATGTTTTCCCAATTATCTGTTCGTGTTTAAAAACAGATGTTTTGAGTGTGTAATTGTATCTCATTCTCTCAGCTTCATATTAACTCTCAGCTTCATGCCACAGACAGGGTATTAAGTTTAAAATTTGTAATTCAGTTCAATTGTATAGAAGTATGTATGCATGTCCATAAAAGTCAGCTCAGTTTTCAAATTGGCTCATGGTGCAAGATTCTACTCATGATTCTAAATTGAGTTGAGAGAAGAGCTGATTCGTTCAAATTGTCCTCAGATCAAAGCTTTGGATCTAGGAGTCTGTAGCAGGGGTGAAATCTACTTACCTTCCCAACTGGTTCGGAAGTGCACATACCACGTGCGTCCCCTGATGTGCACAGACCCTCTGCGTGTGCGCAAACCCTTCTGCACATGCGCAGAGGGTAAAAAAACAAGTCACTTCCTAGTTAAAACCAGGAAGTAACGGCGACTAGGCGGGTGGGCAAAGGCTCGCACCGCCATCGCTACCGGTTCTCCGAACCACTAACCGCCATCTCTACCAGTTCAGACGAACCGGTCCGAACCGGGAGCATTTCACCCCTGGTCTGTAGAGATTCTCAGTCATCCAGGTCATGGTTGTCCCAAAGGTGCTTTTTCAGGCGGCAACTGGACTTTCTTGTTTTTTTCCTTTGAAGAGGTTTCGCTTCTCATCCAAGAAGCTTCTTCAGCTCTGACATCCATTCCCCACTCTCCTGTCAGAGCTGAAGAAGCTTCTTTGGGTGAGAAGCGAAACCTCTTCAAAGGAAAAAAACAAGACAGACCAGTTGCCTCCCGAAAAAGCACCTCTGGGACTTTGGATCTAAGCTTTGCGAGCAGAGGTCAAATCCCTGAATTCTGATTGGTTTAACTTTCAAGGTGTTCTGCACCGAACTAAGACTAATTCTTTTATCAGAAAAGCTTTATTTTTATTTTTTTTTAAAGACAAAAGATGCTGTTTTTCTCTTCCTTCAGGTTCCTATCATTAAACTGACAGACTCCTTTACTGAGGTAAAAGTGGATATCAGCTTTAATGTACAGAATGGGGTAAAGGCTGCCTATCTCATCAAAGATTTTATTAAGGTCAGTTGATGATGAAGGTAAACTTCGTTTCCCCTTGCTTATGAAATGCTCACACTGTACAGGTAGTCCTCGACTTACAACAGATCACTTAGTGACCGTTCAAAGTTAACAACGGCGTCGAAAATAGTGACTTAACGATGGCTTTTCGCAGTTACAACCTCTGCAGCATCCCCAGGATCACGTGATCAAAATTCAGAGGCTTGGCAACTGGTTCATACTTACGACCGTTTGTTTATTTATTATTATTTATTAGTTCAATTTATATGCTGCCTTTCTCCGAAAACCATTGCTGTGTCCCGGGGTCACGTGATTTCCCCTTTTGCGACCTGTTGACAAGCAAAGTCAATGGGGGAAGCCAGATTCACTTAACGACCGGATTCCTGACTTATCAACTGCGATGATCGCTTAACAAGCCTGGCAAGAAAGGTCGTAAAATGGGGGCAAAACTCATTTAACAGGTTTTTTTTTAGTTAGCAGCATAAATTCTGGCCTCCATTGTGGTCATAAGTCAAGGACTACCTGCATTTATACTGTATACGGCGCATTCCCAGCAAAGCCAATCTGTGGGCAGTTCCATTCCACAACTCTTCGGTGATTGTTCTAGACGAGGTTTGGGAAGTAGGATTTAACACTTAAAATCAGTTTAAAAAATAGTATTTACTTACCTTCACTACCAGTTCGCAAATGTGAGCGTGCAGGACCTTCCGCGCGTGCTCAGAGTGTCAAAAATGGGACGTGATGGGTGGGCGGAGCCTCCTGCCATTGCCGCTAGCGGTTTGCCTGAACCAGATAGAAGCAGCTGAATACCACCACTGGCATAGAGGAAAAAAAAAAAACAAGAGGGATTGTTTGCATGTGCTCCTGCAAAGGGCACTGTGAGAATTTCAGAGAAGGGAGGGAGAAAGAAATAATTCGAAGCACACGCCTCAAGCAACGCTTGTCATTTTTCATCACATCCACTAGAGAGCATCGGAACACAACAAGTTTTAAAACGAAAATTTGGGATTATTGGTTTTTTTTTTGTCCCTTTCCTCTTCCCCAAAGGTTGTATTTCCATATCAAAACTCTGTTTCAATTTGAAAGGTGAGCAAAGTTTGGCCTTGGGTGCCGCATACCCATGATTTTAATCACGGCAGCCTCTTGTGGTTCCTGGAGCTACAGGTGAAATATCAGAGGAATTTCACGGCAGATGGGCGGGTGGCATTTTATGAGTCAACTTGTATATAGACGTTGCCAAAGGAGGGGAAAAAAAAAAAAAAGTTGCAACGAAGTTGCCTTGTCTTATCTAATCAATTTAATACGGGAAAATATTTGCTCGAGGGCTCGATAAAAAGACTCGCATTCCTCTCCTTGATACAGTAGGAAAAAGGACTTCAAATATTAATTTTGAAATATTAAGGCTGGGTCGATGATCTCAGGATACAGGCGTGTGAAGCAGAGGTGGGTTTCAGCAGGTTCTGACCAGTTCTGGATAACCGGTAGCGGAAATTTTGAGTAGTTTGGAGAACCAGTAGTAAAAATTCTGACTTGCCCCGCCCCCATCTATTCTCTGCCTCCCAAGTCCCAGCTGATCGGGAGGAAATGGGGATTTTACAGTATCCTTCCCCTGGATTGGGGAGGGAATGGAGATTTTACAGTATCCTTGTTGGTGCCACGCCCACCAAGTCACACCCACAGAACCGGAAGTAAAAAAATTTGAAATCTGTAGTTAACCCTGCTTTAGAATTGTACAATAAGGTTGGCTGGGGAATTCTGGGAGTTGAAGTCCACCCACCTTAAAGGGGCCGAGTTCGAGAAACCCTGTTCTAACTGGACAAAGACCAAAGAAGTAAAAAAATAATAATTCCCATTTTCTTTTTTGCAGAAATATCCTGTATTGCCATATTTAGTTTTAGTATTGAAACAGTTCTTATTGCAAAGGGACCTCAATGAAGTATTCACAGGTGGAATCGGATCTTATAGTCTTTTTTTAATGGCTGTCAGCTTCCTCCAGGTAAGTTAAAATTCTTTCCTGACAGTTCACGAGTTTGTGTCCTAATTGTTGCATATCCCTTACTGCTCATAATGGTACAGAATTCATTTAAAAAAAAAAAAAAATAGTTGGCGGAGAAAGGTGCATTGGATATCTTCGCCATCTAGAGTTATTTGTAAAAGTAATAAAGCCGGGAAACAAATAATAAATAAATAAAGATGCTTCTTCTTGTGCCCTATCCATCATCGGACGTTGGCGATCCTATTTTTATCAACAAACAAAGCTTAGCATGATGTATAAAACTCCATCATAGGGTTGTAGAATTAGAATAGAATAGAATAGAATAGAATAGAATAGAATAGAATAGAATAGAATAGAATAGAATAGAATAGAATAGAATAGAATTCTTTATTGGCCAAGTGTGATTGGACACACAAGGAATTTATCTTTGGTGCATATGCTCTCGGTGTACATAAAAGAAAAGATATATTCGTCAAGAATCATAAGGTACAACACTTAATGATAGTCATAGGGAACAAATAAGCAATCAAATCATTCTAGGAAACAGTCAATATAAATCGTAAGGATATCAGCAACAAGGTTACAGTCATAGTCATAAGTGGGAGGAGATGGGTGATAGAACGATGAGAAGATTAATAGTAGTGCAGACTTAGTGAATAGTTTGACAGTGTTGAGGGAATTATTTGTTTAGCAGAGTGATGGCGTTTGGGGAAAAAACTATCCTTGTGTCTAGTTGTTCTGGTGTGCAGTGCTCTATAGCGTCGTTTTGAGGGTAGGAGTTGAAACAGTTGATGTCCAGGATGCGAGGGGTCTGTAGTTTGATGGAGTTAGGTAGAACAGCTGCTACAGATGCTGCTACTACCAGTTGAGCACGAACAGATGTTCCATCAGGAATCTTGCAAAGACAAGAGTGGAAGTGTCTATGGAGATTCTAAGTCATGGTTGTCCCAAAAGTGCTTTTTCAAGAGGCAACTGGACTTCCTTGTTTTTTTCTTTTGAAGACGTTTCGCTTCTCATCTAAGAAGCGTCTTCAGAGCTGAAGAAGCTTCTTAGATGAGAAGCAAAACGTCTTGAAAGAAAAATCAGAAAGTCCAGTTGCCTCCTGAAAAAAGCACTTTTGGGATAGACTGGAAGCTTTGAAAGTTATTGGCTTGCTGTATTGAAGTTTCCTACCTAGGAGGTGGGGAAATGATTTTTATGGCGCAGGGTTTCTTGTTCTTTTCTGGTTGGGCTTTCAATTTCATAGACCTCGTTCAGTTGTTGAATGGGATGGTCCAGAAAATTGAAAATGTTTTTTTTTTTTTTCTCAACCCTTTTTGCTTGTTTCCACAGCTACATCCCCGGGGGGACGCCTGCACCCCCAATGCCAATTACGGCGTCCTTTTAATAGAATTTTTTGAATTATACGGCCGTCATTTCAACTACCTGAAAACGGGAATCCGAATCAAGGATGGTGGTTCCTACGTAGCCAAGGATGAAGTTCAGAAGAATATGCTAGATGGTTACAGACCGTCAATGTTGTATATTGAAGACCCACTACAACCAGGTATCGAGGGTTTTGCGTTGGGCGTGGGAAGGTTTTTGATATACGGAGTAGAAGCCCCTGAAAATACTTTGCTCCTGATTCCATCTTTCCCTGATATTTTCCTTGTGAATTGATTTATTCATGACTGATTAATATAATGGCATTCATTTGTGAGCATACTGCCAGATTAATAGGTTTAAAGACTATGTTGCAAGATATGAGGATAGCAATAGCGCTTAGACTTATATACCGCTTCACAGTGCTTTACAGCCCTCTCTAAGCGGTTTACAGAGTCAGCCAATTGCCCCCCAAAATTTGGCTCCTCATTTTACCCACCTCAGAAGGAAGGAGAGCTGAATCAACCTTGAGCCGGTGAGAATTGAACTGCCAAACTGCAGGCAGCCAGCAGTCAGAAGAAGTAGCCTGCAGTACTGCATTTTAACCACTGCCCCACCGTGGCTCATTTATGAGATAGGATATTTGACGGGTGCCCAAAGGATATGAGATAGGCAGCAAATAAATTTCATAATAAAATAACTAATAAATAATAAAAGAATTAAAAAATAAAATAAAATGGATTAGATGAGAGGGAAGAGTAAGAAATAAGCATATACATAGGATGGTTATAATAGGATTTTTGTTTTCTCCTTCTAACTATTGCTCTTTTTTTTAAAGGCAATGATGTTGGGAGAAGCTCTTACGGCGCCATGCAAGTTAAACAGGCCTTCGATTACGCATACGTGGTTCTGAGCCATGCCGTCTCTCCGATAGCTAAATGTTATCCCAACAACGAAAGCGAAAGGTAAACATTTGGGGGGGAGGGGGGGTTGTTTCAGTCAGAGGCCTCGCTGACCTCATTTTTTTTTCCCGATCCCCGCTTTCAAATCCAGTAATCTTCCTTTTTTTCTCTCTCCCCCTTCCAAAAAAATGTCACAGTATATTAGGAAGAATAATCCGAGTTACGCAAGAAGTTGTGACGTACAGAGAATGGATATCCAAACAGTGGGGGATCCAGAATAATACAGAGACGTCGTGCAATGGTAAGAGACTTAAAAAGTTCTGGCAGCAATATTTCAGGGACATAGATGGTCCTTGAGTTACGACTGTAATGCAGCTTGCCTTTGATAGCAATAGTAATAGCACTTAGACTTATATGCCGCTTCACAGTGCTTTACAGCCCTCTCTAAGCGGTTTACAGAGTCAGCCTCTTGCCCCCAACAATCTGGGTCCTCATTTTACCCACCTCGGACGGATGGAAGGCTGAGTCAACCTTGAGCCAGTCAGGATTGAGCTGCTGGCAGTGGGCAGAGCCTGCAATACAAGGAAGGAAGGAAGGAAGGAAGGAAGGAAGGAAGGAAGGAAGGAAGGAAGGAAGGAAGGGCAATAACACTTAAACTTATATACTGCTTCACAGTGCTTTACAGCTCTCTCTAAGTAGTTTACAGAGTCAGCCTCTTGCCCCCAACAATCTGGGTCCTCATTTTACCCACTTCAGAAGGCTGGAAGGCTCAATAGACTTTCTGGTACCTCCCTGAGTCTGCAATTAAAAGTCTCACGGTATTTTGATTTTTAAAACAAGCTACTGAGCCACATACATTACAGAAAGAAGCATGGAATAACAATAGCTAAATCTGCTAAATAGCTAAAAAAAAAAAAAAAAAAGAGTTTGTCTGGTAGTAACCTGATGCTGGCAAATAATAAAGTGATTGTGTAATAATGTAAGAGGAATTGAAAGCCATTTGGCCTATTGCCAAGTTATTCCCAAATATTCCGAATCCAGCATTAAACTGGATTGGACATGGAGAGAGAGAGCGAGCAGTAGATTGAAAAAAAAAACAAAACAGCTGGATCCCAAATGGCTCAAGCAATAAAGCATTAAAGTTGAATTTATGGACCTGTTTGGAAACAGCTCCATTCATCCCTGTACGAGCCACTTCTGATGCAATCCTTCGCTGCACGAAAATTAATTCCAAGAAACGATTTCTTTTATTAAGCTTTGGCATTGTTTTCCTCCAAAGGAAGCTTTTTTAAAAAAAGAAAAAGAAAAAATAGCACTCTGCTTCACTGTGTTGTGTTGGGAATATATATGTGGACGGAAGAATAGTGATGCCCAATTCCTTCGGATTTGTGGAACCAGAAAAAAATCACCGTTCTGAATAATGTATGAGACCCATCTAAGTAAGATAGGAATGACTTCTGAGTAAGCAAATGCACAAATCAGCAAAAGCCAGATGTTTTCAAGCAGGTTTTATAGGTTTGACTAGAAGGATAATTCCTCGTGTAAAGGGGAAAGAAGAATGCAAAGTCCAAAGATTAACCGAGATGCAGAGACATATACCTTTCCGCATAGTTGGATATTTATGGAGAAGAGTTGCTGATTTAAACAGCAGATGTCAGGACAAATAAAACTCTCAGGTCTTAGAAGAGTCTGGCCTTTCTTAGACTTTGTTACAAGACGACCTCATTAAACTGACATTGGGGAAACATCCTCTTTACATCGAGTGGGCAAATTCCTAACTGCTGTGGCCCGCCAACAGACAGCAGAGCTAGAAGCAGATTCAGACAGTGAGGAGGTTGGGGGAGGAACGTAGGCCAGCCCTGGAGTCTGGGGAAGGCTCTGCTGAGGGCTCTGCGGCAGAGGCAGAGAGGGGGTCTAGGCCATCTAGTAATTCTTTGCTGCCCCCGAAGTCTCCAGAGTCTGACATCAGCGAAGCAGAAGAACAGCGTGAACCTGTTCCCAGTGTGCGCATGCACAGAGCTGCCAGGAGACAGGGGAAGGATACTGCAAAATCTCCATTCCCACCCCACTCCAGGGGAAGAATACTGCAAAATCCCCATTCCCACCCCACTCCTGGGGGACGGATACTGCAAAATCTCCATTCCCACCCCACTCTGGGACCAGCCAGAGGTGGTATTTGCCAGTTCTCCAAACTAAAAATTTCTGCTACTGGTACAACCCCGCAGGCCTCATCTGGACCCCGGGCCTTAAGTTTGACACCCCCTGCCATAGACCCTCTTTTCCCATTATTAATAACCTTATAACAAAACCTCCTTTATTGTGAAATGGTGCTTATTCTCCGTTCCTTCTTTGGCCCTAGGTAACGGAGTGACATTAATGGCGGATAATCAACAGCTGGACAAATATAACAACAACCTTTCCGAAGAGAACCAGTCGCTAGGAAAAGCGAGAAGTAAAACGTTGGAGACGCCCAGCAAACATTCATCAAACTCTTCATCAGGCCCTTTGTCGTCGTCGTCATCCACGCTCTCCAGCTCCAGCGATGTGGTAAGTATCAAATTCAAATCGGATTACCGCACAGCCGCCTCTAAATGGTTGGAACAGGGTTTCTCACAACGTTGCCCTTTTAAGACTTACGGACCTCGACTCTCAGCACTGAGGAATTCTGGGACTTGAAGTCCACACGTCTTAAAAGTTGCCAGATGTTGAGAACGTCTATGGAGGTTCTCAGTCATCCAGGTCATGATTGTTCCAAAGGTGCAACTAGACTTTCTGGTTTTTCTTTGAAAACATTTCACTTCTCATCCGAGAAGCTTCTTCGGGTCTGACGCGTGACGTTCCCCACCATCCAGTCAGAGCTGAAGAAGCTTCTCGGATAAGAAGCGAAAAAAGCACCTTTTTTTTTTTTTTTGCTTTAATTTATATGCCGCCCTTCTCCAGAGACTCAGGGTGGCTTACAATGCATTAAGCAATAGCCTTCATACTTTTGTATATTTATACAAAGTCAGCTTATTGCCCCCACAATCTGGGTCCTCAATTTACCTACCTTAGAAAGGATGGAAGGCTGAGTCAACCTTGAGCCTGGCGAGATTCGAACTTGCAGTAATTGCAAGCAGCAGTTGTTAATAACAGTGTTTAGTCCACTGTACTACAGGCTCTTAGCCTGTCACCTTTGAGACAGAGGTTGAAAAACACCGCCTAAAATAACATACAAGAGTTTAGCGAATCATAAAAAATGCAGAGCAGGTGACAGAAATATAATACACAGCGCCTGCCTGTCAGAAAGCCTGACGGGGTTGCAAATTTTGGAACTACCTCCAGGAAACCCTGTCACGTTGTTTAGCCATCCAAATCTCTGGCGTACGGAACACAACGTATGAAGTTTATAAAACAATAGTTTAGAACAGCGGCCCCCAACTTTTTGGGCACCGGGGACTGGTTCCGTGGAGAGAGATTTTTCCATGGACCGGAGGAAGCGTGGTTTCGTGTGCTGCCTGCATCCCACGGATGAGGCTTCATTTGTTTATGCGGCCTGGTTTCTGGCATGCCACGGCGTGGTATGCATAGTGCACAGACCGGAGGTTGGGAACCCCTGGCTTAGAAGCATTCCTGGCAGTGGTGGGATTCAGCCAGTTCGCACCACTTCGGGAGAACCGGTTGTTAACTTTCTGAACAGTTTGGTGAACTGATTGTTGGAAGAAAAATCATTAGGGCAGAGAACCAGTTGTTAAATTATTTGAATCCCACCACCAGGGCCGGATTTAGATGAAAAGAGGCCCTAGGCTATTCCACTTATGAGGCCCTTTCACCTATAGTGAAAGTGTAATTTTAATTTTGCTAACAATTTGAATGTAGGCCCCTCTTGATCTTGAGGCCCTAGGCTGAAGCCTAGTTAGCCTATAGGAAAATCCGGCCCTGCCCACCACTGATTCCTGGGCTATAAACTTGGCCTGTCAGAAGAGAAGCGAGAAAATATCGAGCCACTTATACAAATAGTCTTCACTTAATAACTGGTCCCTTCATGACCGTTTAGAGTTACGATGCCTCCCCCAATACAAACACACACACACACACACAAACACATGCTATAGTCATATATACGCATTTCAGACGTGATGCGATTTACATTGATTTGCTTAATGACCATCATGGTTTCTTAAATGTCCGCCACCAAAAAGGGAAAAGAAAAAAAAAAAAAGTAAAACCAGGCCCATGTCACTTGAGTACTTCAGCTTATTATGACCGTCATGACTTAACGATGGAAATTCCGGGCTCCATTACAGTCGCAAGTCAAGGAACAACCTGTGTTTCGTCAGAATTCTGTTCCCCGCATGTAGTTTTGAAGGTGCTGAAATGGTTCCCGTTATGTCAAAGATGGCGTCATCCTTCTCCTTCCTCCACAGGAGTCGGATGGCACCCCATGCAAAACCTCAAAACAGCTGGGCTCCTGCCAGACTTCGGCAAACAGATTGGTACCTCAGGAGATCTCCCTCGGGTCCTCTCAGCTGAGCGGCAAAATGCCAAGTAGCCAAACAGTGAACGCATCCAATGTGACAAATAAGTCCCAGGTCGGTATGGGCCCAGGTTCAAACAATCTCAGTTCCCCTTCAAGACTATCTGAAGCCCGCCCCGTGCTGTGATTTCTCTCCCTACCCTGGAAATAGGTTTAAGAGCTCTAGAAACATTAGAATATTGAGCTTAAACGTAGCTTGGGATAACTTAAGTCTGCAGTCTAGGAATAATGGCGATCCCCTTCCCAATAAATAGAACTGAGCATTGGTCATTTCACTATTTCAATACCGTGTTTCCCCGAAAGTAAGACCCTGTCTTATATTTTTTTGAACCCTGAAATAAGCACTTGGCCTTATTGCCATGTGCTCAAAAGCCCGATTGGGCTTATTATCAGGGGAATGTCTTATTTTGGGGGAAACGGGGTATGTGACACAGTCGGATGAACGCCCTTAAATTCATTTTATTAGGTTGTTTTTAAATCCCGCCTTTATTACTTTACAAGCATCTCAAGGCAGAGAACATATTCAATACTCCTTCCTCCTCCTGTTTTCCCCACAACAACTCTGTGAGACAAGAGCCACTCTGCAGCGGGAAATGGGCAGCGTATAGATTTAATACAGTAAGTAAGTAATTTGGGCTGAAAGAGAGTGATTGCCTCCAGGTCACCCAGCCAGCTTTCATGCCTAAGGCAGGACTAGAAGTCCCAGTTTCCCGGTGGTTGGTCCAAAGTCACCAACTGGCTTTCATGCCTAAGGCAGGACTAGAACTTACCATCTCCTGGCTGGTCATCCAGCCAGCTTTCATGCCTACAATGCATAGGTGAAATCCACTTACCTTCGCTACCGGTTTGGGAACGGAAGCGCACGGGAGTGCACATGCGCTACATGCGGGAGCGCCTGTTCTATGCATGCACAGAAGATTAAAAATGGGATATAATGACGTCCCGGTGGGTGGGTGGAGCTACCGCCGGCGCTACCACTTCACGCGAGCCAAATAGATCCGGCCGGATTTCACTACTCCTACAATAGGACTAGAACTCCCAGTCTCCTAGCGATTGGTCCAAAGTCACTCAGCCAGTTTTCATGCCTAAGGCAAGACTGCAACTCGCCATCTCCTGGTGATTGGCCCAAAGTCACCCAGACGGCTTTCACGACCAAAATGGGACTAGAAACTCACACTTACCTGGTGATTGGCCCAAAGTCATCAACTGGCTTTCATACCTAAAGTAGAACCAGAACTCTCACAGGCTCCTAGTAATGGCCCAAAGTCACCCGGCCAGCTTTCATGCCTAAGGACTAGAACTTCCCATCTCCCAGTTTCGAGCTCGTACCTACACCACTGAGTCCCAGCTGCTCTCTTAATGCCATTTGCTTTTGTGATGGAGCATGCTGTGGCCCGCCGGCGGCCTGCGGAACTGGCAGCAGAGTCGGACAGTGAGGAAGTTGGGGAGGAACATGGGCCAGTCCTGGGGAAAACTCGGACGAGGGCTCTGCGTCAGAGGCAGAGAGGGAGCTAGACAGCAGTGAGGCAGAGGAACAGCTGGAGCCTGTTCACAGTGTGCGCACACACAGAGCTGCCAGAAGACAAGAACAACTAAGAAAGCAGGGCCCACTTGGGAGTAAAGCCACACCTTGGAGGTGATTGGCCCCTCCCATAGGAAACAAAAGGGGAGTGAAAGGGGAGGGGGCTTTTACAGGAAACAATTCGTTCGGTTGTTTCAAGAGTGGAAAATTCTGTTCGTGACTCTAAGAGACTCTGTGCCAAGTTTTGCCTTGTACTGTGTTTGGAAACAAGTTACATGGCAGCTTGCCAAGCGAGATAAGGTCTGTGTTGATAAATATTCCTTTGAAAAACTGTTTGGACAAGCCTTGCTGACTGTGGATGAAAGTAATTCACAGTCGTGTAAATAAAAGAGGTTTAGCCGGGACCAATTCCTGCTTTTTAAGGGAGCCTAGGTCAGAACAGAACAGAAGAAGTCTCGCTGGTCTTCACCCTTTCTTTCTTTCTCTCTCTCTCTCTCTCTCTCTCTCTTTCTCTCCTTTTCTACCCCACAGCACGGATCCATGAGGCTCTTCCGCACTTCTTCCAACAAAAGCATCCAAGGTCCAGGGAATTCCAGCCACGGCACCTTGGTGACGAACAAACAGTACCAGGGCGCTAAGCCACAACAATTTTACCACGGGAAAAAAAGGAAACACAAGAGGGACGCTGCGCTTTCAGAGTTATGTAGATAGTTTTCCTATCTTGACGGTTGGACTTGTTGCCCCCCTGTGTGCAATGCTCTCTCACGCTACGAGAATTAACTTGGACAAAAACGATTTCCAAGATCCCTTCTGGAGTCTCAAGACTGTTGGAACGTTGATTAGCAACGCATTTTAGTTTTTTTGGGGGGGTGGGGTTGTTTTTTTTTTTTTTTTTTCCAGCTCGCCACGAAAAACCGATCATGAAGACTGAATAACTGCAAAAAATAATAATAATAATAATAAAAAAAATAAAAAGCGGGTGGGAGGGAGGAAGAAGAGGACAAGGCTGCTTCTCCAGTAAGTCATATGCTACAACAGGGTTGTTTAGATATATAAAAAGCTTGAATGTAAAATAAATATATCCCGTCAGCTTTCGGGGGCTGACTTCTAGGGGTAGATTACAGTGTATTTAAAGGTTTGGTAATTAACTGAAATAAAACAAAAAAGATTTAAACAAATCAAAACAAAAAAACAAAAAAAAACCTGGGGGGGGGGGGGGGGGAAAAGGAAATTAGGGGAAAAACCAAAATTCAAAAAAAAAAAAGAGAGAGAGAGAGAGTGAATCCTCGCATGATAATTTAAAAAAAAAAAAATTATTTTTGCAAACATCCGCCATTTTATCGTGTATGTATAGATGACCCTAGGGCAAATTTGACGATTTGTAATAGTGGATTTGTTAATATTTTTTACGTAACGTTTACCCGTTTTAAATCGTAGAACAATTTTCTTTTCCTTTCCCTTCTTCCCTCCCCCCCCCCCCCCCCCCTCCCCCGCCCCGCCGATTCATTTCATTGAAAAACAACTTCGACGAAAGTACCGGAAGCTGAATCGTCGCCTGAACAACGGACAAATGTAGCGAACGATAACAGTTCGGCGTTTCGTGATGCTTTTTTTCCCCTTTCAACATTGAAATCATTTAATAGCACATTGACCTGCGTGCATAACTTGATTCTCCGAAGGCAAAAAGAAAAAAAAAAAAGAAAAAAAAATTAGAAGATGGATGCCAGAGCAAATGCTTGTTTATAAAATATACAAATACCTTCTATTGTCAACTCTGATCTTGTATTCCACTCTGGGGAAAGAAAACAAAAAAAAACAAAAACCAGACTTTAAAACTCTTTTTTTTTTTTTTTTTTTTTTTTTGAGGGGTGGGGTAAAATGCCATCATCACTCAGGCAATGGGGACATTCCAGGTTAGCTTTCATGGGAAATCATGGTTTGTTTGCTTTCAAAATAGGAAACCCAGTTAACTTTATTAAAGGAAGGGATACGCGTTGCTGCGTTAAGGAAAAACCTGTTGATGACGTCTGTGTTTTAAGTCTTCCTTGTAAATCCGTCTGGTGTGTTTTCCACATGCGTTGGGCTGCAGTTTTCATTACTTGCTTATGCTGGCTTGAGAGGCAATGAGAGTTGTAAATCAACAGTTGTGGGTTTTTTTTTTTGAAAAGCACCAGATTGGGGAAAGGGTGGTGTAATTACAATTCTGGTTTGTTTTTTTATTTTTATTTTTTGTTTTTGTTTATTTATTATTATTTTTTGCATGCTTTTATCCTGGATTTTTAAATTTTTATTTCTTTTCTTTTTTTTTCCGCAAGAAAATAAATTCCCTTCTCTTGCAGCTTTATAGCTCTCCCTTTAAAAAAAAAAAAAGGAGAATCGTTAATGCAAAATGGTTGAATTGTTGTTTTCTTTTCTCTTTTAAGAACAAAAAAAAAAAAACCCTGAATGTTACCTCATTCCCTTTTTCAGAGACTTTTTAATCCACCCTTAAGAGAGAATTAAAACAGTCTTCAATAACGGGGACGGCTTCGTCTAATGCTGTCTAAAGAGGCACCAAACGGTGCTTAATTCTTCCTGAAATTCTCCCGCTTCCTAAGATGGGTTCCTAGCTCAGGCAGGCCTTGAATTTTAAGACAGGAGTGAAATTTCGTGTGGTGAATGCAGAATGGAAGGGGTTGAATTGCAGTCACTTGCTTTATCTAAAGAAGAAGAAGAAAACCAGACAAAGGAGCACTTTAATGGATAGAATGTAAAAGTGACGTTTACTGTAACTTTTTATTTTATTTTTCTTTATAAAGAAGAAAGCGTGTATTCCGAATGTAAGATTATTTGGGTGTATGCGGTCTGGAGAATGAAAACAATATCCTTTTTTTTTTTTTTTTTTTAACAAATACTGGCTTTTAGATGTTTTGTTTTATAAATTGCAGACCAACCTGAACTTGGTAAGGGTGCAAAAAGCTTTTTAAGTGAATAATAATTATAATAATGCAACACGACCAAAAACTGTCATGACTGAAAAATTAATAAAATAACGCTAGATGATAAAGCATTTTGACTTCAAAATGAAGAGAAAGGGGAGGGGGGAAAACAAAATACCATAATCGTCTTAAAACCCTAGGGATTTTTTTAAAAAATTTGAAAAAAAAAGTGTTAACTTGACAAAGTTCTTAGTTATGTTTTGTTCCAAACATTTTTTTTTTTTTTAAATCCAAATGCCTTCCGTGAACTAGAATTTGTCACAAGGATTCACATTATGCATTCAGCATTTATGCGGAGTTAAAAAATATGTTTTATAACTGTAGGCCTACCTTTACACTCTGTTTTGAGAACAAAATTCTAAATTATTTCTAATCCAGTATTATTATTATTATTATTATTATTAGCTGCCATTTTAAAATGCTGTTACGAATGTAATACACCCGTCTGTATTACTGCACCACACTGAAGGTTTTTTTATTCAATTTTTCGGGAAAAATCACCCTCTTCGTTGGAAACAGGTGTCCTGTCAGGTTGCAGAGATTGGTATTCCAATAAGCATGTGATTATTTTAATGTGGTGATAGCGGGAAGATAATCTTGATTCCATTGGGAATCTTAGGTTTGTCTCAATTTATGGTTTTCATAAATTTTAATGGAAAAATAGCTTTTCCTGGACTGCTCAAGTTTCATTTTGTAAACAGTATCTTTCTAACAAGAAGAAGAAGAAGAAAAAGCATGAAGGAAAAATTGAGGAATTTTACTTGCCTCAAATAACCAGCATTGGTATTCATGAAACACATGTATATCTAGCAAATCTTTATTTAAACCGAACAGTTGAACTGTTCGTCTTTTTTCAATCTGAAGTTTAAAAAAAAAAAGAAAGAAAAATCACTTTCAGTACCTTTTAATTTTTGCCTGCTCATTTTATCTTGTACACTTCATCTCTGTATTCAATTCAAATCTAATTCCTTTTTTGAGTTTCAATACTTTTTTGTGAAAAATTTTGTGAAATATATATATATAAAAATAAATGTTTCAACAACGTTTCATCATTCATGGCATCTATTTTCTGTTTTAAAGGCATGTGATTTTTTTTTTCCTTCCCACCACTTTTTATTTTACCAACCAACTCGCCAAAATGACCAAGTTAACCATTGATAGACCTAAGGTTTGGATGTTGAATAGTAGAATTTCCCATCTGTTGACTAGAAACTTGATCCATTGGGCAAAGATGTCCTAAGGGGATATCAAAAGAATATGTGCCCCTTATATTGTCTTATTGGGAATTGGGGATGAAATGAGAAACATGTTTCTGCTCCAAGTTTGAAACAAGGGAGCTCCCTCAAAATGTCCTTTTAGAATCGCTGTGAGCTTTTCTTGCAGATGTTTCATTACCAAACTAGGTAACGACCTCAGTGCCAACACTGATGATGTTACCTAGTTTGGCAATGAAACGTCTGCGAGAAAACCACCAAGCTCAGAGAGCACCAAGGACCCTAAAGTTCAACCCTGAGCTACAAATATTCTTATCTATGATGGGTGAGTTGTGTCGGCATCTTACAAGTTGAAATGCTCTGTTCCAATCTTATGAGAGAATTCTCAAGTTCCTTTGAGCTCTTTTTCTTAAAATCTGAAAATCATTTGGCACGCCGGAGCCGAGCTCATGTGCCCACTGATATGGCTCCGCGTGCCACCTGTGGCACATGTGCCATAGGTTCGCCATCACGGGCATAGAGGCGTGTGGCTTCCATTCCCTTTTTGGCAATTAATCCATCTTGCAATAGTGCAACAAATTCTAATTCGGTTTTTTAAAAAGTCCTAAAGATAGAGTTGGAATCTAAATGCACTAAAATACTTGCAATGTTTGCAATAGTGGTGAATATCTGTAGCTCAGGTTTAGGATGTGGGTGGCTCTCGGAGCTTGTGGATTGGTTTCCCAAACTTTGCCAAACTAAGTGGAGTTTAGAGGACTTGCAATGTCCTTGGCTGACCAACAGATGGTGCTGGTCCATTAAAATTACAGAAAGAACTAGAGCAGGTTTTTGCTTCAAATTAGATTTCCCTACATAAGAAAATCTGGCAAGGGATCTAACATGACACAAAACGCCCTACCTCTGTGCTGAGTAATAAGAACAGAAGACTAACGGATACCTTATTGTAACTTTTTTTCCCCCCTTATGTTCAATTTTGTCCGCTTCTTATAGGATTGCCTGGACGAGTTGCTGCAGTTTCCTTGGCAAGGTTTTTCAGAAGCGGTTTGCCATTGCCTCTTTCCTAGGGCTGAGAGAGGAGACTGGCTCAAGGTCACCCAGCGGGCTTTGTGCCTAAGGCAGGACTAGAACTCATAGCCTCCCGGTTTCTTGGCCTTCGCTATTAGACCCAAACGGGTGCTGCTTCTTTGCTCTTCTACAATCACCATGCAAATCAACAAACACCCCGGAGAGACCGAACGCCAAAAATACATCAGTAATATGCTTGTAGAATGCGGTACATAGGCAAGTTCATTTTAACTTAAAAATAATAATACATAGAGGTTACTCAGCCCCGTTCCCAAGGTAACAGCTGCAGTCCAATCACCTAATAAATAGATGGCTTTATAGCCATGAACCATTTCATCCAGTGGTGGGTTTCACATATTGTTACCACTGGTTCGCCCCCCGCACACGCCATCCGCATATGCTCCCAGTCTTCCGTGCATGTGCTTTGCTCGCGTGCGCGCCTTCCGCATATGCATCCGGCTTCAAAAATGTGGCTAAATAGGACGTCATTATGCCGGGGTGGGGTAGGCAGGCTGGGCCGACCCCACCCGCAGCCACCGCTACCAATTTGCCCGAACCGGCTGAATACCACCTCTGACTTCATCTGAAGTGTGCCCTATTTAGTGAAACAGAAAGGACGATTTATTTAAGGGAGAAGAGGAGTCTGCTTATTATTTAATCTCAAGCCACCTGTGCGGATGTTGCAACGGTCATAAGTGTGAGGACTGGCTGTAAGTCATTTTTTTCCAGTGCTGTTGAAACTTCAAACGGTCACTAAATGAATGGTTGTGAGTCAAGAACTAGTGTACTGCACCATTTCGGAGCTCCAACTTTGTGTATTGTGATCAGTGTAACCACGATAACTTGTCCTTTG